TCAGGATAGAAGCAACAGGTCTGTGATGTCAACCCAGGTACAAAGCGCTGCCCCACACCACCTGACCTCTGGGGCCCCTAGAAGCGGGTGGGAAGGGCCACCAGTCTTTCCAGAGCATCTCAGTGCTGCCTGCCTGCGTTTCTGCCAGGTCCCCCGCCCCGCCCTGGGGTAGCCAACACCCTGGGGTGTGTGTTCCTGGAAAGGATTCAGAGAACCGAGCAGGCAGGTCCAGGACCCTGCAGGCTCACTGCCCTGGGGACAGGTGTGGCCGGGCAGAGCCAGGCGGCTTCAGAGAACAGGCTGGGCAGGTGGGGGACCACCCTCCTTGTGTGTGATTGTAGAATGGCAAGGTGCCCCGGAACATTCCTAAAGTTCAGCTTTTTTAAAAGAACACTCTGATCTCGCCTCTGGAAACCTGCCTCATCCCTCCTCCTCCTCGTCGTCCTTTCAGAGAACACGCGCACCCGCGCACACACGCGCACACCCGCGCACACACACACCCTCCTTCTTTATTTTGGGTGCTATTATATTTTGTGAGGTGGCAACACATCTCCAGATCCAACCCTAAATCCTAGAGATCTGGGAGTTGATTTGCAGCCACCAGAAAGGTTTTTATTTCCCTAACTGGTTTCAGAGGAGCCAGGTTTCTAGGCCGTCAAACATCAAAAGCCAAACACACAACACCCCACGTCCACTTACACTCAGACTGTGGATCCTCAGCCATCCTGGCCTTCCCATGGCAGCCGCCTGGCCCAGGCTGTCGGGTTGCCTTGGAAACGACAAACATTCTAAGCCCCTCCCCCACAGTGCAGCCAGGGCAGCAGCCCCTGTGTGGAATCTCCCTCCCCCCCATGCCTCTGACCTTCTGGAGCAGGGACTACTAGATGTTCGCTCGCTTATTTTACTTTTTAAAGTGAAACAGTTTTTGTGATGTGAAAAACATCAATATATCTTTGCACTCTAATTCCTTTCCAAATCCTAGGGAGCAAAAGGTAACTGGTCTTTGGGCACCTCCTATAGAGAGGCACGGATTGTGCAGTGCACAACCCATCCAACTGTACCTGGAACTCTAGCACAGAGGAGGGGCAGGTCACGAAATGATCATTTAGTCATTTTAGAACTATCCATGTATTTCCTAGCAGGGAACTGAGATTCTCTGAGGTACAGTATCTCGCCCAAATCAGTTAGCAGGCAGTAGAAGAAGATTGTAAACACACACCCGTTTGACTGCAAAGTCTACACCTTTTCCTCAGGCCAACCTGTGTCAGGTGAGGGAAAAAGCAAATACCTCCTCCTATCTTTGAAAACTGCAATTCTATTTAAATTTCTTCCAGCCAGAAACAGATTGTAGTGGAATGGGGACTGTACTTGCTCTTAGGAGTAAATTTGAAAGCAGCTGTCACTACTTAGGTCTCTACAATGAGGCAGGGAGTAACACTCCCCGAGTCGTGTGAATGAAATGAGGTGGTGCTGTGAGAGATGTGGGGCACATACCACTTTCGCTTGTCTGTGTTTCCGTGTATGCAGGTCGGGTACATTAAAGGTAACGATATCACCAACCGTGAATCTGCCACTGACCGCCACCTGCACAGGTGGCTCCATAGTTAGGTGTATTTGAATTTAACCGGTGAGAAGGTAACCAAAGCCTTGACTGGGTTTCTCTCTCCAGTGTTCATAGTATTTATGCATCTAACTGCAACTAGAAACAGTGACATGAGAGCATCCACGTTGCAGGAGGTGATCTCGGTATCCACGCTGGAGGGAAGGCTTTGTACCTGCCAGCTTCAGTTAGTTATAATGCAGGATCAAAGGCAGCGGCCCAGGTTTTTTACATTATTAACTGCTGGAGGTGAAGAAATGAGACTTTGTGCTCAGAATTGCTTAGTAATTTAGTGTATGGCTGACTTCTATAGATTTGAAAATACACCCTTGTTTCCCACTATGCAGACAGGGGACAGCAGCTGCCCCCCACCCTCCTTCCACACACGGGCAGACAGGTGAGCGCTGCAGGCCTCGGCGGAGCCGGCGGTGGGAGCGTGGCCCATGCGAGCTGCTCACCTCCAGGCTTTGGCAGGTGCCGTCCTCGTGCCTGTTGGTTGGCACAAAAATGGATTTGGCTCGTGTACAGGGAATTAGTGTCTTCATTTAGATCAGAAAGAAAATAATTTGTTTTCAGGACCTACGTTTCCCCCAAGCCATTCCTTATGACAGAACACAAATACGGTTACATTAATTAATCTGCTCTTCATCCTAAAGATCAGAAAGTCAATGGTCAAATCAATGTCAGGCCTTAAAAACCCACCTGTGGCTCTCCTGTTGCCAAATATTTCATCAAAGTGCTTAAGGCAGAAACATATGTAATGACTACCCTATCAGTGCAAGGAATTGATCTGCCGAACACACACGGGGTCTTCCTTGAGGCCAGACCTCTGCTTAGGGATCACCACGAATGCTCACTTCGCCAATGGGGCATGCGGAGGTTTGCAGCTTTACTGCTGTTTTGTTTTTCCAACTCTAGATGGCACTTGGACACATTCTAAAGCACATAGCTACTGAAAGCAAGTCAGCAAGGGGACGCCACCATTCCAACTAATCCATCCATCCACCCAACCTTTCACCCTACCCCTCACCCAAGGAACAGCAAAAGACCAAGTGTTGTCTGCTATTGTGACTTTGCTGAGAAGGCAGAAATGCACAATTTGTTGTCTGCTCTAAAGATGCTCCGTGGAGAGGAGACAATGTGGGAGTAAATCCCAGTGTGATGGGAGCAGCAATGGAAACGTGAGTCAACGGGCACAGAGCAGGGAGGAAAGGCCCAAATCGCGTGGGCTGGGGAGCTCCCCGGAGGACCACCCGTGCAAGGCGCTCGTGATGGCGAGCAGGGTTCCTGATCTGCAGCCACGGGGAGGAGAGTCTGGGTGTTAGTCCGAACAACAAACAGGCTGGAGAGGTGAACGGGCCCATAACGAACACTTCCAGTTACTGCTTTGTCAGCTGTTAGAATTTGTTGTGCAAAAATGAACAAACTTCCAACAACTTTTTAAACATCTTTGTACTTCCTAAGCTCTGGACAAAGAGGATTGTGTGTTTAAGACACCATAGAAGGAAGATGAGAGCAGCGGCCTGGCAGGCGGACGCAGAGAGGGTGCAGGAGAAATGGCAGGAGCCAGAGCAGAGTCAGAGGGAACTTCAGCTCCGTCCTGAAGACAGCGAGCAGTCATTGAAAGCAATTGAACAGGAGAAAGGATTCATCCGATTTCCATTTAGAAACGTAGCTCTGTTGCTACATATTGCAGAGTAATAATGGGGTGGGAGTCAGAGCCAAGAATTGCATTCCCAGCCCGAACGTGCTGGCCAGGGCTGCCCACGACCCCACCGCGGCCTTCCGCTCCCTCCTGAGGCAGCAGAAGAGCATCTCTCCAGCCACCGAAGGCCAGGACTGCCGTGGTCCTGGGATCCTTTCTCTGTCTGTCTCTCTCTCTCTTACATCATCAGTATTTGCTTTTCTATGGGAACATTTCCATCAGAAAACAATATGCTCTTTTTGTTTATCTCACCTTAAAAACCATCTTAAGAACAGAACCTTTGCTTTGACCCCATGTTACTGTAGCCGCAGTCTCCGGGCAGAGCAGGTGGCATGGGGAGCACTCAGCCTGTCTGCCCAGGGAGGGGACGGGATGCACACGGCTCTGCTGTGTCCCCTGCCAGGTGGGTCTCCTGTGTCACTCCGTCTGAGCCACAGGCATGCTGGTCCCACTTATGGCAAACCTTCTTGTTTATAGCCTTTACGTTGTCCTAAAGGTGATTTCTGCAATACGACTTTATGTTTAAACTGTATTTGAGGGCAAAGTAGCCATAAGAACCAAAAAGTTGAAGACGTGACAAATGGCGCAGAAACAGCACCTCCCGAAGGCCCTCACGGCCCTGCCCACCTCCCGTCACATCTCTCCCTCCTGCAGAAAGCCAAGCAAGCCTCCCCTCGAGTAACTTTGTCCACAAAAACTGCGTTCCTTTACTTTCAAAAAGTCGCTTATGACTCGTGTAAACTTGTTTCCAGAGGCTCCACTGAAGTATTTCACCGGTGAGAGTGGTCTGGGTATCCTGGGCCATTTCCCCTCTACGCGAGGGCCGGTGGATACAGGGGGTGGCGAGGACCCCCGGCAACCTGCCCCGGAGCCTCTAGGGACGCTCGTCAGAGACCGCACAGTCTGCACACGTGAGGACCCATGCACACAACCTTCTCCATCCTTCTCTTACACGGTGATAGCAGAGGAAGTCATTGTGTATGAGCCCCCGGCAACCTGCCCCGGAGCCTCTAGGGACGCTCGTCAGAGACCGCACAGTCTGCACACGTGAGGACCCACGCACACAACCTTCTCCATCCTTCTCTTACACGGTGATAGCAGAGGAAGTCATTGTGTATGAGCACATGAAGAGCCACCTGACTTTTTGAATAGTTGGACACTATGGCACTTTATGGCTGCGTTACGATGTATTTAATCAACAGACTGTGGGTGGACATTTATGTTGAGTCTGTTCTTCTGCTTTTAAGTCCACTGCTTCTGTTTAGGTCATTTTACGTATGTGAATCTGTAGGTAAATACACAGGGTGAGTACGCGGGGCAGGGTCCCTGTTCATGTCATGTTGTAAAGCTCATCAAATCGTTCTCTAAAGGGCTTGCACCAATTTATACATCTCAGCAACAACAAGAGTGCCTGTTTCTCTGCAAAATAGCACTTGTTCACCACAAAATGCCATTCCTGAACAGAATGTTACTGCACGTTCTGATCTTTGCCAATATGAGGTTGCCAATTAGATGTCGAGAGGAGAAAAATGTACAATTAAACTGTGAAGGAAAAAAGAAGTTGTTGTAATGACACCTCTGAAATGCAGTGGTGAGTCTCCCCATTTCAGACAGGGTGATCGGGGGCAGCCTCTCTATTGGTTTCCTGTGGCTGCTGTTACAAATAACCACACACTTAGGGGCTTAACACAATACGAATTTACTGTCTCACGGTTCTGGAGGTCAGGTCTGAAATGGGTTTCAATGGATGAACTCGGGATGCCGGCAGGGCTGGATACTTCTGGAGGCTCTAGGGGAGAATCCGTTCCGTCGCCTTTGCCAGCTTCTCCAGGCACCTGCCTTCCTCGGCTGCTGGCCTTGCTGCACCTGCAAAGCCAGCGCGCTTAGCCGTCTGGCTCATGTCACAGACACTCTCGTGCCTCCCTCTGCACACGAGGACCCTTGTGATCACGCTGGGCCCCTGGAACAGACGATGCAGGCTAATCTCCCTGTCTTAGCTGATTTGCAACCTGCGTTCGGTCTGCAGCCTTGGGTACCCTTTGCCTTGTAACGTACATTTTCACGGGTTCTGGTGATTAGGACGTGGACCTATTTGCGGGCCATTATTCAGCAAGCACAGCCTCCCAGACGAGGTGACAAAGAGCCGGAGGAAGAGCATTCTTGGTCAGGAGCAATGAATGAAGGCCCAGGTGGGGAGGTCTGCTGCACCTGACCTGACCGCAGGAGCCAGAAGGGAGTGAATTAAGCCCCCCCGGAGCTGACTGCTTTCCCCACTTTGACAAGCGCTGCAAATAAAGCCCATGGTTTCCCTTATGTTTTTGAGCACTGGCAGCTGTGGTAACAATTAGTTTGTCTTTCCAGTGGCTGTTTTCCTGACAGTGTGGCAGAGGAAAGGATTTTTTTTCGTGGAGTGGGCATGGGGTGGGTGAGTG